AGCCAAAGAAAAAATTAAAAAATAAAAATTGGAAAAAAAACAAAAATTTGCACGGCCCCTAACACAAGGCCACACTAACCTTAATCGTGAAGGGATCCAGCTGGGTGTCCAGTCAGTGCAAAAATGTCCTTTGCTAGATGAGCTGGACCCTAGGCTAGCACACAACCGTTCTGCGGAAATAAAAAATTTTAATTTTGGCACTCAAGAATCTAATTTTTTACACTTATAATGTTCCTCCCGGACTGGCCAACCACTTGTTACAAATGATATGAGTGGGGCTTCTATGGGGTACTGGTACTATTAAGGGGTATAGGTAGTTAGAAGACAGGAGTATCAAATATGGGAGAGCTAAAAGGCCCGGCCCCCAAAATAAACTATCCACAGTAGTAATAACTTGCTACAAGACCAAATATGTTAGTCTAAGGGTTGATCACTGCGCTCCCACCTTGGAAGAAGAGATACTCTGTAATTCATGTACTTATTTATTAACCCGTTAACAACCCCCCATATACACTCACACCAATAACAATAATAATAATAACTTTACCACACTATCTTACGTTAAAAGCCTTGGTCCACATAGGCAGGATACAAGGTTTACACTAATAACAAGCTAGGGTAAAGTACTACTGGATAAGCCCTGAAGCTGGATGCAGCTTAGGGTAGTGAGACCACGTGGGACCCTAATACAAAACACAACACTTAGGGTAAACAAAACACTGGCAAATACTAACCCCAGGTCTCACCAATAGTTACTACCAGAGTAGGCACACTTACACCATATAATACTTAACTTAAGGGTACAGGAACTTCAGGTAAGGGAAATAAGTAAGAGGAGAAGGAAGGAGAGTAGGGATACAGCCACAGAGTAGGTCTTAACCTCACGCCACCAGCCAAGAGAAGAGCGAGCTCCTCGCGACCACCTGGCCTCCCTCATGTCGTGGTGCCGGAAGGAGCCTAATTGATCGTGCAGCTAAGCACATTAAAGATCTTCCCCTATGCAACGTATTGTTACTTTATGAATGATTAGAAAGTATTAGTAAGCAAAGTTGGTGCCTATGTTATTATTTAATAATCAACCCCCAGCTCAGTCTTTAAATGCTCTTTGAGAAACAATAATAGTCTTACGTCTGGCAGGGAAGATACAAACAATTTCCATTCGAAATGCGCCAACTGTACTACTTAGGAAGTTTAATAGCTCAATTTTGACCTCTGGTTTCCACTGGAGAACCCAGGGTCGTAACACGAGGTCGAATATGTCGTCCAACAGAATCTCCAACTCCACTTTCCGGGCCATCTCACTCGGTCTGGACATAACGTGACAGTTTATACCCAGATTTAGGAGAGTGACTTGGTCCTCAGTGAGGTTGATTCCTGCAAGGTTCAGGAAGCCATCTCTTGGTCGTGGAATTGCCATAGGTCCTCCATATAACGTTGTTAGTTTCTTCATTATCCTTGTTTCAGTGCTGAGGTGATGTCGGTCTGTGAGGATGTTGAGGTGTTGTTCAATGCGAGTACGGAGACTTTCATCGATGTTGCTGTTTCTCCATTCATTTGTAGCATGAAGTAGTTGCGCTTTGTTGTCTTTGATTTCATTTTCTGCCATGTATATCTGATCACGAATCAGATCTTGGCGATATTTTATCGTGAAGGTTTGATTCCTTGCTGCTGGGTCATGCGTTTTAATATTAGTATATTTTGGTGTTAGTCTTTCCTGTAGACATATATTATTAAATATGACCGAAAAAGTAAGATTAATAATTCTAACACAAATTTTCTCGATCTTTCTTACGTTTCTTTTCACTGTTAATGGTAATTCAAAGATCAATTCAAAATAAAAATGAATTTTGGAGAATTGATCTTTGAATTACCATCAACATTGAAAAGAAACGTAAGAAAGATCGAGAAAATTCGTGTTAGAATTATTAATCTTACTTTTTCAGTCTTATTTAATAATATATATATATATATACAGGCATACCTCAGAATAAGAGTTTAATCCGTTCCTGGAGGCGCCTCGCCTTCCGAAAACTCGCATTCCGAAGTTAATTTCCCCATAAGAAATAAAGGGAAATGAATTAATCCGTTCCTGACTACCCCAAAAACCCCACATCAAACTAAATTTTTATACCTAATTTACCTAATTCATCTAAATAAACCTACAAAGCTGTGTTCCAGTTATTACTTACCTTGCTGTCGAGTGCTGTAGGTGTATGGAAGATGGTGAGGAGGGGGGAGGAGGAGAGGAGTTACTGTTTGGAAGGGGAGTCCCCTTCCATAATCACATCACATAACCCCATGCCTTGTAACACTATGGATACCACTTCTCTTTCTAAATTTTTCAAACCAGCCCCTGCTTGCCTTAAACTCTTTCTTATCTGCATCACTCGTTGCAGGGGTATTCTTTAGAAGGTCTTCGTGCAACACCCTGGCTTTCTCACAAATAATGGCCTCCGAAACACTATCACCCCTCAACTCCTTGTCGTGTATCCAAATTAATAACAACTTTTCCACTTCTTCAAGTATTTGTGGTCTTTGTGCCGTTAATGTTCTTACTCCTTTTGCCACTTTAGCACCCATAATCTTATTTTTCTTCTTAAGTATAGTGCATATTGTTGATGTGGCTTTGTTGTACTGCCTACAAAGTTCAACAACACGTGTACCGTTCTCATGCTTCCGAATGATCTCTTGTTTCTCCTCTATTGTCATCCTCACATGAGCTTTCTGGCCTTTATCCTTACCACTGGCTTTCTTGGGACCCATGGTGAGATATATAATAACAAATTGTATAGACAAATCACCAAAAATCCAACAAAACACTGTAAATCCGCGAGAAGAATTGATGTGGGGGTAGTCACTGAGCGCGAGACAATAATAAACTGAGGGGCGGAGGGGCGACGAACGCGCTAGGTCGGCTGTACGCGTATCAACAAACTCGCGTCCAAACTCGCCTCCCGAAGTAACCATCGCCTTCCGAGACAAATTTTTGGAGTAAATACACCTCGCCTTCCGAAAACCTCGCATACAGGGACAATCGCATTCCGAGGTACCACTGTGTGTGTGTGTGTGTGTGTATGTATGTATGTATGTATGTATATATATATATATATATATATATATATATATATATATATATATATATATATATATATATATATATATATACATACATACATACATACATACATACATACATACATACACACACACACACACACACACACACACACAGTGGAACCTCTATTAACGAGTGGCTCTATTAACGAGTTTTTCCAGTAACGAGCAAGCCACTCGCAGCAAATATGTCTCTCTTGACGAGCTCGCCTCTATTAACGAGTGAAACCACATGGCGCTTCCTAGCGTCTCGCGGGTTCTCGCAAATTCTCGGACGCCTCCGACGCCAGTGTTGTTGTTGTATCTCACACGACAAGCATCCCTCTGGATTTATTTGAGCTTTTCTTTGGGTTTTTAGTGGTTTTGCGACTACAATTTGTAACACACGATGTCTCCAAAGAAGCTGCTTGCTAAAGATAGTGTTTTCAAGAGGAAGAAAGACACAATTATTATGGATTTCAAGAAGGAAATTATAGCAAAGCATGAGTGTGGTGTCTGTGTGATTGATCTCACAAGGAAGTATGGCAGGTCCTCATCAACAATTTACACCATTAGTAAGGGAATGAGGAGGCAAGGGAGAATGCTGCCTCTTCCACTGAGATCAGGGAAGTGTTTGGAATGTTTGAAAAGGTGAACGCATTCTTGGAAAAGCTGCCCTGATAAAGCAGTGACAACTCAGTGTGTGAAAATGTTTAATTAATTTATCACTTTGTGATAACACTTTATGAAAGTGTTATCACTTTCGCCGGTATATGTCGCTTGAACGTAACACACTTTTTCACTTGAATGCACCCAAACACCGCGCTCAAGCATCATTTGAGCAAATATTTCTATAAAATCCAATACTTATCCGATCGACTTGGGGATTGTATACATGTTTGCCATGAAATTTCCGTTTTCTTTAATAACCACATTGCCTATTTGAGAAAACGGCATTGTATTGTATCTTCGTGGTAAGACTATTATATTGTTGACACAACGAGTGTAATCAACGTAGTTTTTTTATTTGGTGCTGGTCTAACGCATCCTTGTGTGACATTTGAAATGAAATTTGGGTAAAATTCCCAAGAAGAGAGAGTCCGCCTGACTCAGAGGTGAATTCTCCTTCCACACCATAACCCCTCTCCTCCTTCCCACCTCTCCATCGTCTCCCTCAAGCCAGCAACTACTCTTCATAAGGTAAAGTAAATATTAAAACACTACAACAAAACATTTATATTTACATGTGCAGTATTATATTTACATAAAAAAGTCATACAAGTATGGATGTTTTTGGGAGTGGAACGGATTAAATTTATTTCCTTTATTTTAAATGGGGAAATTTGTTTCCAAAGACGAGTTTTCCAGGTAACGAGCTCGGTGCCAGAACGGATTAAACTCGTTAATAGAGGTTCTACTGTATATATATATATATATATATATATATAAAATATATATATATAAATATATATATTTATTTTATATAAATATATATAATTTATATATTTATTTAGTATAAATATATATATTTATACTTTATTTATATAAAATAAAATAAAATAAAATAAAATGGTGTGGGGGGGGTTACCACCTCTGGTTGCACTTAGTATCATAGCTTCAGGAAGCCTCCGGGGCTCACCCAGATATTGGCATTTCATTACATTCAAAGCTGGCTTTTTGTACTCCCTTCTCATGTTATGTAATTTTCTACTTCATCCCTGTATTGCCTTAGTTTCCTTTTCACTGATTTTGCTCTCCTTATTCTATGTAAATCATAAGGCAGCCATTTTCATGGCTTGCTTTCTTCCAGGTTTCCTGCTATTTACCTTTTAATAATTTTGCTTCTATGCACTAAAGGTTTGGTGCATTGAGAAAGATTTTTACATTAAGTAATTTTTCATGTTCAGTATATCTTTTTCCTTCAATGCTTTCAGGTCTGAGGTTGTTCTTAAGAGTGGACATGGAACTGTTGCTGTGTGGCTCCAGAATGATGCTGGCTTTTCACGCTGGGGCCCCACTCCAGACAAAGTTGATGCTTTGTTGGAAGCATTCAGACCTGGCCGTGAGCGTGATCGGGACCGGCAAGAGATGCTGTCTCCGCCTCGCAGGGACTCCAGTGCCGAAGCTCCACCTCCTTACGTTGATGTAAAATCTGCCCCTCCACTATTAGCTGGAGGCTCTCCGTTGGCAGCACCAACTGCTCCCTCGCCAGTTATTGCTCCCTCAGCTATCATGAGCACCTCGCCATCTCCAGCTATACCTCCAACTGCCCCGACCAGCCCGACCACCACTACAGCCATATAGACCTAAAAAATTTTGGGAAAAATTACCTTATTTTGTCTATGGAAAACTGCACTATCTTCATATTGCTGATGTGCAAGATTTGTAAAACAGTGTACAGTTTTGTGTAGAAATTTCAATTTCAATTTTTTTTTTTTTTTTTTTTTTTTTTTTTTTTTTTTTTTTTTTTTTTTAGTTCCATTAGGTGATCTACATGCATTAGCAATATATAAAAAAAAAATTGTTGGAAAGTGTTCATGATATAGAATTGCCTCAAGCAAATATTTATGTGATTGGGTGATCCCTGTGTCTTGGTAATTTGGGATTTGGCAGGTGACACTTTTTATTTATCTATTGAGTTCATGCATGTTTATTGGTATCAATATTTATCGTAATTATATGTACATGTGTTGTGTGTGTGTGATCGCATTGTCTTAAATTGTTTCTCTATTTATTTGTCTACCCTGACAATTTCTCCTCTCGACATCATTTAAAATGTAAAGACTGTGTAAAAAAATGTATCTCTTAAATTATTAAATTACTTGTTTTTTTAATTAGAGACTACTGAAGACAGAAAAATTACTTCTCTATTGGTTTAGTAAAAGCTGTCATTTTAAGTATAATTTTGAACACAGTTTTAATTGTGTAGCAAGATCCGAGATATTTGGTATATTTTTAACAGTCACCTCAATTGTGATTTTTGCATCTCATTGAAAGGGTTCAGTGAAAATCCTGCCAAAACTCAGCATTACCAGGTGACTTGGGAGGTTGGGGGGGGGGAGGGGGGAGGCAGAGGTTACAAAGACAAGGTGTTGGTGATCATAGGAGGAAGCAGCTGTGTGAGGCTGATGGTGCAAGACCGGAGCATTTTACCCACACGTTTGCCATATGCAAGTTATCCTTTTTTTATTATTATTATTATTATTATTATTATGCAGTTTGCTTGGTATTGTATGATAGTTTCCAGAGTTCTATAATATGTAGTTTTTATGACTTATTATTTTTTACTTGCGCACACACATGTAAAGCTTCTGGTAATTTTATAACCTGCATTTGTAAATGGAAATATTGTTTATATATGTTTGATATGTATTTTTATTTACATTTTATTTTAAACCTGGCATTATGGTACATAACTGTACTCATAAATAAATATACATCAGTATGTCTAGTTTCGAGCACAATTTTTTTTTTTACAATCCAGTCAAATGTGATGGGCAGAGATCAGTTTGCCCATATTATTATTCTTGTTGCAGCTACAATAACACACACAGGTATATTACAGGGTCAATCAAAAATAGTGCTTCCTAATTTTTATTCACGCCATTTGTATAAGCTATGAAAGTTACTTGAGAAATGTGTACACTGTTGCTTTGTGATTCTTCAACATAAGTTAATATCAATCTCATTCAAAGTGTCCAACCACTTGGGCTGGACGGTAGAGCGACGGTCTCACTTCATGCAGGTTGCCGTTCAGTCCCCAACCGTTCAAGTGGTTGGGCACCATTCCTTACCACCGTCCCATCCCAAACCTGACCATCCCATCCCATCCTGACCTCTTCCAAGTGCTATATACAGAGCACCACTTGGTTTCCGAACTTTAGTTATCCGAAACTTCCAGTTTCCCGATTGGGGTTGGGGAGTCGTGCTACCCCAAATAAAGTTCGGGTAGGAAGGGGTCCGCCAAGCGTTATGCCAGCCTGTGGTGGTAGGTGGGAAATGGTCCAGTTTGCCCACTGTGACTTCACAGATTCACGGCCTATTATTCCTATTATTTTGAATTGTCATAAGGCTGGAATGTTCATTTTGTGCTTTTGTTTTACATATCTGTACAATCAAGAAACATCTGTGCACCATGTCGGCTCCAAATGCACGCATTGCATCAGTGATGGCTGACTGGTGGGTGGATGGATGAGGGAGCTTAGGTGGGAGGCAGTATGAGAGAGGGGGAGAATTAGAAAGGGAGGGAGGGGGAGGTAGGGAGAGATGCTAGGAGGTAAGTAGGAAAGGAGAGAGGGGAAGGTAGGGAGAGATGCTAGGAGGTAGGCAGGAAGGGAGGGAAGTAGTGAGAATTAGGGAGGGAGGGAAAGGCTGGCTGGCTGGCAGGCAGGGTGGCAGGCTGGCAGGCAGGCTAGCTGGCTGGCTGGCAGGCAGGCAGGAAGCGATGTATGGGTGTTGAGGTGAACCACGTGACCTTTGAGAGAGTGTGTATGGGTGGGGGGGAGAGAGAGGTGTGTCGGGGGTGGGGAAGGGACCGGCTGACTCCGTAAGCCTAACCACACTCGACAGACCTGTGACCCAGATTTGTTTCTTAAATGTACATCATCGTATATTTTTGGCTGGTAGGATGTGCCTGCAGGCTGGCTGGCAGCATGTGCCTGCAGGCTGGCAGGATGTTCCTGCAGGCTGGCTGGTAGGATGTGCCTGCAGGCTGGCAGGATGTTCCTGCAGGCTGGCTGGCAGGATGTGCCTGCAGGCTGGCTGGCAGGATGTGCCTGCAGGCTGGCTGGCAGGATGTGCCTGCAGGCTGGCTGGCAGGATGTGCCTGCAGGCTGGCAGGATGTTCCTGCAAGCTGGCTGGCAGGATGTGCCTGCAGGCTGGCTGGCAGGATGTGCCTGCAGGCTGGCAGGATGTTCCTGCAGGCTGGCTGGCAGGATGTGCCTGCAGGCTGGCAGGATGTTCCTGCAGGCTGGCTGGCAGGATGTGCCTGCTGGCTGGCTGGCTGGCTGGGCTGGGCTGGGCTGGGATGGAGGCAGGCAGGCAGGCAGGATGTTCCTGTGTGCTGGCTGGCAGGATGTTCCTGCAGGCTGGCAGGAAACATCCAGAGGATGTTTGCTAGACGTCTTAATAATCAGCTAGGAACAATTAAGGACTTTTATAAAGCGGATCAGGACTTCACTCATTGGTGAGTACAAACAAAATACGGTCACATTTACGCTATGATCCTGTCTATTTTTTCCCCCTAGAGTTTTCCATTATTTTTTTCAGAAAAATTTCTTTTTATATTTCTAGTTTATTTTTTCCCTCCATTTCTCGTGTATGAACTTGCATGTTAACCAACGGGTCTCGTCCCCAAGGGGTTCGGAAACCAAGTGGTGCTCTGTAGTCATAATTGTTTGGGACTTTCTCCCTGATAATTCCCTCCCTCTCCTTCAAAGTACAAAAATTTGTCATTGGAGGAGGCCAGATCTGCTGTATAAAGGAAATAACAGAGCACTCCAACCAAGTGGTAAGACTGCTTGTTGAGTGGGAGCTGGTGTGTGAGCAAGTTTTGTCATTAAGAAGCACCTTGGGTATTCCCGGTTAAGATAGCAATGCATGCATGCCAACATACATGAGGTGCTGCTTCTGCTTCAACACTTGCATTTGTGCCAGTTTGCTCACTAGTGATGCCATTTTATTGTTTGGCACAATTGTGCTATTTTATCATGTTCTCAACCCTGATCTGCCACCTCCAAAACAAATATAAATAAATAAATACAGTGGAACCTCGAGTAATGAGCGCCTCAATTTACGACCACTTAGAGTAACGAGTGCGCCACCCGGCAAAAATTTGTCTCGATTGATGAGCTTGTCTTGATTAACCCTTGTGTTGCTCAGGGCTAATTAGCGTTTGTCACCCACAGGTGCATACCAAAAAAAAAAAAAATTCTTCTAAACCTGTTAATTTGTGTTCTCTGATCATGGGGAAAAATAATAAAAAAATCGTAAGTGGCATATATTGCCAGCTATAGGGCGGGGAAGTCTGGCAAAAAACAGTCGCTGACTCAGCGTGCGTCCCAGGCGGTCTGTTGCTCGCCAGCTGTCAGGCCGGAGTGGCCACAAAGAGATAATTACTTAATTATTTCAATGTCTCTGATTGATTTTTCGTAGTTTTTTGCTGTAATATTATTCAATAGTGTGTAGTGTGATATATTTATATAATAAAATGAGTGAATCATCGCTGTACTCAAAAATATGGTGTGCATATTGTTAATTCAATTATTATGTTCATCAAACAGTGAACAAATATTTTGTCGGTTATTACACTATATACACAGGTTATATATAAGTATCTGCATGTTTTGTTCACCATAACGAACCACTAAGTTGGTATTATGAGTCAAAAAGCAAGAGGAGTGACCGCCACACACCAGCCAGCCACTCACTCCCTCAACACCTCACTCGCCCACATTCTCCTCCCACCATACTGTTTTTGCTTATGTTCACTATATACAGACGTTATATATAAGTATCTACATTCGTGTTCACCGTAACGAACAACTAAGTTGGCATGCTGAGTGGCAGTGGCAGCCCGTCACTGGGTGCTACTTCCTCCCTCCCTCAACTCATCAGACTCGCCCACATTCTCCTCCCACAATACTGTTTTTGCTTTTATTCACAATATACAGACGTTATATATAAGTATCTACATGTTTTGTTCACCACAACTGTAAAACTAAGTTGATATAGTTAGTTCAGGCACTAAGAGACGTCGCTACACACAGTCAGGTGGGAGCTGCTTCCCTCACACATTCAAGGTCAGACGCACTAAAATTTCACCCCTAACAATACTGTTTGTGGTGTTATTATCTTATATACAGACGTTATATATAAGTATCTACATGTTTTGTTCACCATAACTGTTCAACTAAGCCGGTATAATGCCCAAAGAACATAGTGGCCACCCCTACCAACATGACAAATCATGCAGATGTTGCCACACCCATCACCAAAATGGCTTCTCCCTCCACACTCCTTTTGCTGTTATTACACTGTATATACACGTTATATATATAAGTATCTGCATTCGTGTTCACCACAAAGAACCACTAAGTTGGTATGCCAAGTGCCAGTGGCAACCCGCCACTGGCTGCCACACCCTCCCTCACCTCACCTGACTCGCCACCATTCTCCTCCCACCATACTGTTTTTGTTTTTATTTACAGACGTTATATATAAGTATCTGCATGTTTTGTTTACCATAGCGAACAACTAAGCTGGTATAGTGAGTCCAGACAGTAAAAGGTGGTCACACACAGCCAGCAGACAATGCTACCTCCCTCTCCACCAAGATTACTCCTCCCACTACAGTGCTAATTATCACAACAATTCTATTATCAGAACCCTGGTCATTTTTATCACAATCAGGGGTCTTCTGTAATAATATCATCGCTAAATAAAGGCATGAACATGTATATCATGGCATTTTTAGGCGATGATGTGTTCACAAGCTGAACAGCAGTGCTGTGAGCTCATGCTGCATGCGTCAGGCTTAGTGGCTTACTCAATACTGCAGAGGCCCCTCACACCCGGAAATTTGGCCCACGATTTAAAAAAAAAAATGGCGTTTGTTTACAAGAGCCCTGATGAAGGTGAGGTGAACCCTGTGTATCCGCGGGTCGTTTAAATCTTTCGTAGTACTCCAATACATCATATGATGGGATGCACAATTTATAGGAAGTCACTCAACCCATCATATGATGTGTAGCACAACTTAAGGGTTAAAACAGAAAAATTAAAGGTGGAAACTTTCCTCCCTATTCTGGACACACTAATCTTTGAACTGGCAAAACATACAGAGGCTTATTCACAGATTGGAAATATGTTTTTTTATTTCAATGAATTGAAAACCATTGCTTCTGATGCATTAAAGAAAAAGTGGAACATCTGGCTAATATATATCACAAAAACCTGAATAATGATAACCTTTTAAATGAATGTGAGCATCTCCAGCACTACATGGCTCTTGATGAAAATTGTGAGACTCTCCGTGCTCTGTACAGACAATTTCGGACAATTTAAAATTTATATTCCCGAATGTTGAAATTGCACTCAGTGTTTTCATGTGCCTGATGGTGACCAACTATACAGGAGAATGTTCTTTTTCAAGATTGAAACTTATAAAAATTCTGACACACCACACATTTGTTCATAAAAATTCTGCTTCGTAGCACAATGGGGCAGCATCGTTTGAACTGGCTTTTACTCATGTTCATGGAAAATGACATCCTGAAGAGCATTGACTTCAAACCAATAATTAAGCATTTCTCTGAAAAGAAATTCCACAAATGCTTGTTATAAGAAGTTCATAGTAATTTCATACTGTGCCATCTAATTGTGTAGCTTACTGAGTATTATTGTGTTTTTCAAGCCTTGTGTATTGTTCAAATGTTCATAATGTTGATTTGTTGCTGCT